CCTCGGCCTCCCAAAGTGCTGGGATTACAGGCGTGAGCCACCGCGCCTGGCCGAGCCTGTTTCTCTTTAGTTATTTGTTCATCCAACAAATATATATTAAATGCCTACTATGTGTTTTGGGTGCTGAGGATACAGCAATGAACAAAACAGACATAAATTTTTGTCTTCATGAGGCTTATATTCTAGTGAAGATAAACAATAATTGTAAAATAATGTGTGTGTGGGTGTTTATTCTTACATATTTGTGTATATGTTTTATTTTTTTTCTTGTGTGTGTGGGGGTGTGTGTATTGAGAGAGAGAATGACAAGGCATGTCAAAAAAATTAAGCAAGGCTAGGAAGAGTGGGTGGCAAGGATGAAGAAGATCGCACTTTTAAATAGGGGAGTCAAGACTATACTTTCAGGGATCATTTCTATAGTTTGTTAAATAGGGGAGTCAGGAAAGGCCTAAGAAGGTGACATTTGAGCAAAGATAGGACATTTTCCACTAATAGGAAAGAAAATCCCTATTTCTTCCAGCAAAGGATTTATTAAGGTAATGATAATAAAAAGAGAAAGTCCCTATTTCTTCCTATTTAGAATAATGTATGTATACATGAATACACACACACACACACACACACACACCCACACACACACCCCTATATTATCCCTATAATGGATATATTAATCCTGGAGGAATACTTCTTTTTTTTCTTTTTGGAGACGAAGTCTCGCTCCGTCACCCAAGCTGGAGTACAGCGACACCATCTCAGCTCACTGCAACCTCTGCCTCCCAGGTTCAAGTGATTGTCCTGCATCAGCCTCCCAAATAGCTGGTATTATAGGCACATGCTACCACGCCCAGCTAATTTTTTATGTTTTTAGTAGAGATGGGGTGTCACCATGTTGGTCAGGCTAGTCTTGAACTCCTGACTTCAAATGATCTGCCCGCCTCAGCCTCCCAAAGTGTTGGGATTACAGGTGGGAGTCACTGCATCCGGCCTTGTATTTTAAATACCTGGGAGCTAAAATTTTGGAACACATTCTGAAAGTGTATAAGCCCAGAGTTCTTCCTTTTGCCATCCATTCATTTTCACCACCCTGAGCACCCTACCAACACCATCTAAACTCAGCTCCACGTCCTTCCTCCCTACCCTGACAGTGAGTCAGTCAATGCAGGCCCTGCTCTGGATGCTATGGAATATCCTCCTGAAACCAGAGATCTTGTGTAATAGTTGAAGTGAACGAGTGCCCATGTAAAAAGGTGATCTTAGAACATGTGCAGAGCAGCTTTATGTGAGGCACAAATCAATATGAGCAAACCAAGTCTATAAGGGCAGAGAAAAGGTGTAGAAAAGAACGGAGTCAAGTGGGGTGCTTCAGAGAGGGCTTTCTGGAGAAGATAAGCCTTTCATCTAGGTTTGGCCAGAAGGAAAAGCCATGGCATGGTTGGAGAGGTTGGGAGAGGGTGCCTCTAATAGAAGGGAAAAGCTCTGAAGCCCGGAAGAGCACAATGTGCTTTAGAGGCTAGACTGCAGATGAGCTTGGCTCCAGCAGCAGCACTGAGCAGGGGAGATCTAGACAGGAGGTAAAGTCCACCCGCCCTGATGCATCTCTGGTCTCCACCTTCAGATGTGTCACCAGTGGTGGCCGGCCTCATCGGAGCCTCTGTGCTGGTGGTGTGTGTCTCGGTGACCATCTTTGTCTGGTCATGCTGCCACCAGCAGGCAGAGAAGAAGCACAAGAACCCACCATACAAGTTTATTCACATGCTCAAAGGCATCAGCATATACCCAGAGACCCTCAGCAACAAGAAGAAAATCATCAAAGTGCGGAGAGACAAAGATGGTACTGGGAGGGAAGGTGGACGTAGGAACCTGTTGGTGGACGCAGCAGAGGCTGGCCTGCTGAGCCAAGACAAAGGTCCCAGGGGGCCTAGCTCTGGATCTTGTATAGACCAATTACCCATCAAAATGGACTATGGGGAAGAACTAAGGAGCCCTATTACAAGCCTGACCCCCGGGGAGAGCAAAACCACCTCTCCATCATCTCCAGAGGAGGATGTCATGCTAGGATCCCTCACCTTCTCAGTGGACTATAACTTCCCGAAAAAAGCCCTGGTGGTGACAATCCAGGAGGCCCATGGGCTGCCAGTGATGGATGACCAGACCCAGGGATCTGACCCCTACATCAAAATGACCATCCTTCCTGACAAGCGGCATCGGGTGAAGACCAGAGTGCTGCGGAAGACCCTGGACCCTGTGTTTGACGAGACCTTCACCTTCTATGGCATCCCCTACAGCCAGCTGCAGGACCTGGTGCTGCACTTCCTCGTCCTCAGCTTTGACCGCTTCTCTCGGGATGATGTCATCGGCGAGGTCATGGTGCCGCTGGCAGGGGTGGACCCCAGCACAGGCAAGGTACAACTGACCAGGGACATCATCAAGAGGAACATCCAGGTGAGTAAGAAGTGTGTGTTGGGGAACAATGGTAGGCTGTGGGACACGAGACCTCCGGGAAGAAATGGAAGGGGGAGGGGAGTGGGATGGGTGGCAAAGAAGGGCCACAGAGAGGAAGCTCTTGGCTGTCAAGGATAAGCAGTGGTCAGAGTAAGACAGAGGACCTGGCAGATTAGTCTCCTAGGAAGGAGAAAAGGTCAGAAAGCTTCTACCATTTCACCTGGTGGTTGGCAACCTGATACTGTCCAGCTTGCTTGGAACAGGCTGGCCTACCAATTGTAGGTCATCCATCGTATCAGGGATATGGGGGATACTTTCTTCTCCAAAATGATGTGTGATCTTCCTCCAGTGAATTATTTCTCACAGCTAAGAAGCTATGACAATAGTTCAGTAATTTTTCCCTCAGCTTCCCTTTCCCAACCCTAACCCAGGGGTATAAATAATATCATGTACATGTCTTTTCTTTTTTTTTTTGAGATGGAGTTTCACTCTTGTTGCCCAGGTTGGAGTGCAATGGCTCGATCTTGGCTCATTGCAACCTCTACCTCCCAGGTTCAAACAATTATCCTGCCTCAGCCTCCCAAGTAGCTGGGATTATAGGCTCCCACAACCATTCTGGGCTAATTTTTTGTATTTTTAGTAGAGACAGGGTTTCACCATGTTGGCCAGGCTGGTCTTCAACTCCTGACCTCAGGTGATCTGCCTGCCTCAGCCTCCCAGAGTGCTGGGATTACAGGCGTGAGCCTGAGCCCAGGTCACGCACACGTCTTCTTATGACCACTTTACAATGCAATTCAATGAATTGCTTCACCTTTCTGGGCCCAGACCTTTACCATAAACACTTTTCCTTTCTCCATTTCTCCTGTCCACCCTTTTTGCATCAGAAAAGGGACGAGGGCCCTCCATCCTGCCTTCTCTCCCTCTCTTCCCACTGGACTGACATTGGCTCTTGAGTTGTAATTTCAGGAGCACACTAAATGTAGCCCCACCCAACCCCATTAGTTCATTTATTCCTTCCACGACTGGGGAGGCAGTGAAATGCTGCAGTTAATCACTTGGGCTCCAGAATTGGACTGCACGACTTCACTCTCCAGCTCACCACTTGCCAGCTTTGTGACACGGGTGAGTTAACCCCTCCAAGCCTCTATTTTCTCATCTGTAAAATGGAGCTGATAATATTACCTTCCTTACAGAATCAAATGAGATAATATAACTGGCATATGATTGCATTTGAAGAGCTTTGACTTTATTGGAGGAAAAAGACAAACATTTTCTGCAATGACTGTATAGTCAGCATGATAGGTGGTATGAAAGAAGTTGTTGAAATTTTAAACTTAGAGTTTCATGCCTTTTTTAAGGGTATAACATAAGTGGTTAAAATAGCAAGGACTGCTGGGCATGGTGGCTCACGCCCGTAATCCCAGCATTTTGGCCAAGGCAGGCGGATCACGAGGTCAAGAGTTCAAGACCAGCCTGGCCAACATGGTGAAACCCCCATCTCTACTTAAAAAAAATATACAAAAAATTAGCCAGGCATGGTGGTGTGTGCCTATAATCCCAGCTACTTGGGAGGCTGAGGCAGGAGAATTACTTGAACCTGGGAGGCGGAGATTGCAGTGAGCTGAGATCACACCACTGCACTGCAGTGTGGGCGATGGAGCGAGATTCTATCAAAAAAAAGAAAGAAAGAAATAGCAAGGACTTTGAAGTCAGACCTGAGTTTAAATCCAAATTCCACCAGCTAAGTGACCTTGGGCAAGCTGTTTCACTTCGCTAATGTCGGTTTCTTATAGGAATAGAGTAGGATGATGATGTTATATAGCCACTAGGACATAGTGAGCCTTCAATACATTGTGCCTGTTACTATTATTGTTAGTTCTTTTTTTTTTTTTTTTTTTTTTTGAGAGGGAGTTTCGCTCTTGTTACCCAGGCTGGAGTGCAATGGCGCAATCTCGGCTCACCGCAACCTCCGCCTCCCGGGTTCAGGCAATTCTCCTGCCTCAGCCTCCTGAGTCGCTGGGATTACAGGCACACGCCACCATGCCCAGCTAATTTTTTGTATTTTTAGTAGAGATGGGGTTTCACCATGTTGACCAGGATGGTCTCGATCTCTTGACCTTGTGATCCCCCCGCCTTGGCCTCCCACAGTGCTGGGATTACAGGCTTGAGCCACCGTGTTAGTTCTATTATTAGTAAAATTTTGATACCTGGGAGATGCATGTGGTTTGGCTTGTAAATGTTTATATTTTGTTTTGACAAAGTGAAGGATGATAAGGGAGGACTGAATCGGGGAAGGAGGTTCAGAAAGAATTTCAAGGCCACTAGTAACAACTGAATGTCTCCCAGAAAGAGCTCTGCCTACCGGCAGATCATACTTATCTCTCGATACCTTTTTTTACCTGCAAGCCCTCACTGGATTCAGTGGGGAGACAGGGAGGCTCAGGATTGAAGAGGCTCCTAAGTTAGGCGTGGAGTGTGCACTGAGCACCAGGAACAAGGTTTGCCCACTGAAGAAGGGTACTGTGCCGAGTCTTGCTGGGGGACAGCAGGGCGCACACTCTCTGGGGTGTGTTCTTGCCTTCTCTGCTCTGTAGTAGGCACCTGTCCCCCTGTGGCCAGCCCAGTCCTGCCATTCATTGCCTGAAGGAACTGCTGCTGTCACCTGGCACACTCAGATCCACCTCACAGGGGCCAGGGAAGTCCAATAACTTTGAAGAGTATTAGAGACATTTGGCCAGAACCAGAACAGTGTATCCTGGTTCTCAATGCCAGGAGACAATGAGACATCCCAGAGTCCCGCACGGCGATATTCGCATCCTCTGGGGTCGGAATCAGAAGGCGTGAACAGAAAGGGGAGCAGTGGCCTGTTTCTCCTTCACTCCCTTCCCCTCTCCTCCCATCTTTTTTCCTCAGGGCTCTACTGACCCTTTCCGCTGTTTCCTGATTCCCTCCACAGCCGCTCCCATCCTCCACTCCCTGCCTTGTGTACCTCTCCTTGAAGGAGGGTCCTTTCCAACACACCCTTCCCTGTGATGCCAAATTTGGTAAAGCCACCAACCAACTGGACTCCTCCACGGAGCTACACACTTGCAGCCCAAGGCTGGGAGTGGAACATGGCTCTGTGCCAAGCTGCAGCTGGGAAGAGACTGGCAATGAAAGGGACTGATTTGAGCTGGGAACAAAACAGCCTCAAATCAAGGGCACTGGACACAGCACAGACAATGGCGTTTGCTAAACTGCCAGGGGCTCTTGGCAAGAGCCACATTTCTTTCCACTTTATTAACTCCCTTGAGGAGGGATAAACCAGGGCTAGGATCCTGAGCAACACATGCCCTGGAAGAGGCCCGAGATAGGACACCCAGAGCCTGTGCAGCCGCACCCCAGAGCCTTCCCGCCTCCCAGGCTTCCTAAGCCCATTTTCCCAACCAGCGCCCGTAGGCAGGATTATGTTTCATCTGAGCCATGGCTGTCGGCTCCCTAGTCACTCATCCACTAGGTTCCCTAGCAGTGCAAATGTCTATCCCAAACCCTCCCTACTATAGCAAAGTAGGATCTCCCCTTGGTAAACACAAGCTAGAGCTGCTCTGGACCATGCCACACTGCTTGTAAAGGGCTTTTTCACTATAGGATTACACAGACCAGGAAAAAACTACTACATTCTAGCCTGGCTGACAGAATGAGACCCTGTCTCAAAATTAGAAAAAGAAAAGAAAATATGGCCGGGCACAGTGGCTCACACCTATAATCCTAGCAATTGGGAAGGCCAAGGCAGGAAGATTGCTTGAGCCCAGGAGTTTGAGGTTGCAGTGAACTATTACCAGAAACCACACTCCAGACTGAGCGACAGATCGTTTATATGTATTGGCGGAGGAAAAGGGGGTAAGGTTGAATGCTAAGGTTTTATTTTCCCATGGTTGTGATTTAGGGTAAGAAGGCCCTCAGGACATCTGGCCCCAAGAAGGATTTATTGAGGTTATGTTGGTCCACCTAATGTAAGGGCTCCATGGCGAGAAAATCACTCTGAAAGAGATTCTGCTAATTATAGGAAAACAGATTATCTCTTGCCTAAGTATTATTTCTTTATTTCTTTTTTTTTTTTTTTTTTTTTTTTTTCTGAGACACAGCCTTGCTCTGTTGCCCAGGCTGGAGTGCAGTGGCATGATCTCTGCTCACTACAACCTCTGCCTCCCAGGTTCAAGCAATTCTTCTGCCTCAGCCTCCTGAGTTGCTGGGATTACAGGTGCCCACCACCATGCCCAGCTAATTTTTATATGTTTAGTAGAGACAGGATTTCACCATGTTGGTCAGGCTGGTCTCAAACTCCTGACCTCATGATCCGACCGCCTCAGCCTCCCAAAGTGCTGGGATTACAGGCATGAGCCACCGCGCCCAGGCTGCCTAAGTATTATTTCATCTGAGTTTATTCTTAGGACCACTGTTTCTGTTCCTCTGTTCCACTGAAGGAGCAAGGAGACTGCTGTCAGAGAGCTGAGCCCCACAGCTCTGTCAGGCATGATAAAATCCTTTCTCCCCCTTGTCCTTCTGCTTGCCTGCCCCCCAATGGGGTCTTTGCCTCACTAGGCCAAGGGGCTGGGAAACAAAGCTTGCTCCCAGCCTTCAATGGCTCTTTTAAAATAAAGAGCCATTGACATAGCTACTTGGAATTGGAATTGGGTAGAAAGAGAAAGGGAGGGGGCTTGAGGGAACATTAAACTGCCTTCAGTGCAGAGTGGAGTGGCATTCAGGTGGTGGTGTGGTTACAGACTTCGGCATCGCAAAGGGGTGCTGAGTGAGGATGGGCATTCTGCCCGTGTGAGATGGCCCAAGGTGAAGGAGGGATCAGATGGAGGACAGTTGCCTGAGGAGTGATTTTAGGGGAGAAAATGATGAAAAGGGTAACCAGAAGTTGTCTACTTTCAAAAAAAAAACTAGGAAAGGGGCATGGGGATTTGGATTAGGAAGATTTTGCTAGAATGGATGATTTAGGATACAGAATTTTAAATAAATAATCAGAAAACCTAAGCTGTAATCTTGTCATTCGTGTTATTCTTACAAATAAAACTGCTTTAAAAATCAAATGTCTGCCGGGCGTGGTGGCTCACGCCTGTAATCCCAGCACTTTGGGAGGCCGAGATGGGCAGATCTCGAGGTCA